TGGATGGAGAGATACTCTAAAACTTTCCACTGGGGAATGCTCACATAGTGACTGCAGTTGCTTCGTTCCTGGCGTTCTGCATACTTCCAGCTATCTGCTCTGTGCACTGGTTCATTGCATGTAGGTATTGAGTTTACAAACCCTTAACCTTCTTTTAGTCTTCTTTTCACCCAAAATTCTCCTTACCACATTGCCAACCAAGCAAAACACTAAGTCTTCTCAAAAACACTAAGTCCAGCATCAGGTAGAATACTACCAACTCCTCAGCCTAGCTGAGAAAATTGGCTTTACTGGTGCATTTACAAGTGCATTATTTGGGAATAATTTAGCTTGTAAGATGTTTCCTTGAAACTAGTACTATTTGACTGCTTCCCACCCTCAGTTTGTTAATACAAACAGTTTTTGTTATTGTCCAAAATGCCAGCCAGTTCAGTGCAGGTGGATGAAAGACAATGAACACATACTGTAGTCTCAGATATGTCAGTCTTAAGAGTCTTAAACACCTTGGGGAAAAATAAATAAATAAATAAATAAATAATAATAAAAATAGCTGATTTTCCAGCTGTTTGAAAGTGTTTCCTGTACAACTATTACTTAAGTTGTTTAATTATTACTTAAGTTGTTAAGTTGTTACTTAAGCTTATGCTGGCTGGCATACCTTGCAGTGATTTTTGTCTGCCTATTGCCTCTAGTGATAGGAGGACCAAACACTGCTTTTAATATTATATTTGCATCCAACACTCTTACTCTGATGATTGGCTTTCCTGCCTGTAGATCTGGTTCAAAGGGGTTGCTGCAATCCAGGATAATCAACTTTGTCTACTCCTGAAATAAAACACCTCTCAAAAGAAAAGGTTTGGACTTTCAAAGGAGCTTAAGAGAATTAGACTCCCAAATCCTATTAGATTTCAATGCAGCTGGAAACCTAACTCTTTCCAAAAAAAATCAAAGCCGAGAGGTCTAGACAGGCAGAAATCCTGCTGTTTCATGAAAATAAAGAGAATGAGAAAAAAAGACCAGCTCCAGTTATTCTTACACAGCAAGTAAATGCTTTTCTTTAAAAAGCAACCAACCAAACCTCATTTTATACCGACTTTTGCATATTCATCTCACAATAACAGAAAGCCAATAGCTCATGATAATTTATTACATGGAAGTAGCAAAAGAAGCACGCTGAATTACAGCAAAACAAGTACTTAAATATCCAGTCGATACTGCAGATTTGACAGACATGTTATCTTTGTATTTTATCACCTTTGTATTTATCACAATAAATAAAACCTTCAATATTTTAACTTCAGTATTAAAGACGTTTATCTTATTTATTTGAAAGTTTATGGGAACAAAAGAAGTGAACGTAAAATCTCATTTACATTTACTTTCTATTTATGTTACCTATGGTTTTAGCTAACTGTTTCCTTCTGCAGCCTTTATTACTATTATTAAATACACATCTATACCAAGCAGCAGCATCCTATAACCTTCCAGGTAACCAAATTCAGCTACTTCACTTAGCCAAGGGTCATCTGTGCAGTTGTTTGAGACATTTGCACTTCATCATTCAAACTGACTCAAGGGACAGTTCCCAGCATGTCATGGCAAATCTACCCAGGTATCACCCAACGTAACTTGCAGTATTCAATTCCTCTTTCTCTGGAAAGAAATTTCCATTGACTTTGCATGTAACACTATTTCTTAAATTTCTGCCTTTTCCATGCTGGCAGAAAAAAAAGAAAAAAAAAATGTTTTTCTGATCCTTATGAATTAGAAAAATGATTCTTCTGTGACTTTAACCCTTCATTGACTCGGCTGCTAAAATAGCCTTTAGGCTTCCTAGATATATAGCAGTATCGCAGTTACAGATTCCTAAGTTCTTTTCGCAATGAGATTTACAGTTTATAGATTTTGTTTTGTTTAATTTTTGCTGTACGTGCCACACATGCCTCAGTGTACTAATTAACCACTAGAGAAAAGGAGCATGCCATCAGCTCACTGTACTGGAAGGGACCAAACTTAACAAAGGGCCCCAGTTCCATTTCACTCAAACTCCTGTTCCTCACTGCAATTATACATCAAGGCACCCAAACAAAATCAAGTATTTTCAGTTATGGTATTGACCTCCACTCAGGAATCTGAAAGATGGGAGAACACTGAAATGCCAACAGGAAAAAATATGCCAAGACTGACTTCGTACTTGAGACTGAGTTCACCCTCGGGAAGCAGAGCTTTCAACTTGATATGAAGTCAAGCTGTGAGCCACCCAGAAGCAGATGCCCCCCCTGCCATGGACATGAAGTAGGCCTGAGATCCCATCATGCCTGAGGTCTACAGTTCAGTAATATCAGAGCACCACTCAAGTTTATCTTTAACTTAGAAATGCCTCAGTCAGCCAACAGTATGTTTAAATCTTTTCTTTTTCAACACTGAATACTTTCATTTCTCCTTACTTCAGCATGCTAGTATCTTCTATTTTATCAGTCTTGTTGACTAGGGGTCATGCTTGATTTCTTTTTCCCCTTCCCCTCTCTTTATTAAGTACATGAACAAGTCCCGTCATCTTCCATAAAGCTTCAAAAATCCCTTTCTTCCTGTTCTGACAGCTTAGGCTTATCTGTAATCATTTTCCACTCGACCTAGCAGAATCACTTCTTATCAGATCCTTTTGCATCAGACACGCAGATGCTAAATAATGTCTCATTTTACCTATGCAGACAGTATTTCTGACCCTTCATTACACCTACTCTGCTGTACAATTCATTCCCTGACTACCTGGCTACTTTCCTATCACTGTTTTGACTAAGACACTGAATTATGGCAGCTTTCTTACAGCTTCCTACCTTTCTTTTTTTTTTCTGAACTGTGTGAGTTATGACTATCAGAACTTCTTAAAAATATATTCATCAATTCACCATCATATACATTCTTTTTTCAGTTTCCTACTAAATACCACTCTGTGGTACAGTCTAAGATATCTGTGACATTCACACAAGGCTAGTAAACATGAAAAAAGCCCTTCAAGAGCCCTGTGTCCTTCTGCAAAGGCAGCCAAAAGCAATGTAAGGTGTCTAAAAGAGATACTGGAAAACTAAGTTCAGGCAACCAAATTCCTTATAAAGGTGAAATACTAAGTACACTCTCAGCAACTCATGCCCTCCAGCATTTCATTTCTGCTTTCACTTTCTCCATGGTGGATCTACACAAACCTGAAATTTAACCATTGGCCTGAAGACCTCAAAGCTATGGCCTTCCTCATCTGTCTTATCTTTAAATCACAAAATACACCACCAACTTCTAAGCATGTGCCAAGAAAGTTAATTTTCAAGTTTGATCCACTTCCCTCCAATACCTTAAAACCCTCAGTTTGAGCCATAGGCTTACCAATCCCTCAGACATGATGTTATTGTTAAGATGTAAGGAACAGCCCTTGTTTATTTCAAAATCAATGAGTAGAGATCTCTGGAGAGATTTAAGGTTAGTGATAGAGTTAAGGAACCTGCCTGACTGGAGACTAAGCAAAAGGATGCAAGCACCTTAACAGCATATCTCTGGATTAGATTCAATAGGCTTTCCTTATTATACTTAAATAAATAAATAAATACAATATGTTAGGTGCAGCTTAGCTGTCTCCTTGAAAGGAGAATGCTGTCACTTCAGCATTTAAGCCTACCAGGTAAGTGCAAGCAGTTTTCATCCTCTCTGTTCCCTACATCACCCTCTGTTTTCCAATTCTAATCCTTCTGTAGGACTCTGCCTTCATCTCAGTGACAATTTTCCTTGCAGTATGTTAGACAAAGTGCCTGTACCTCTGTGAACAAAGAACAGTGCCTGTAAAGAAAGCAGGCTGCCTTCAGAGGACGGACAGATACTGAGTTAGATCAGTCTGAATCAGTAACGTACAGACCCTCAGCTATGGGCAGAGAAATCTGTCATCTTGCAGAACATCTGCTGGCAAAACATCTCGCTATCTCTCCAGATACAAATGGACTTTAAGGGGCTGGTGCAGATTAAACCCTTCCTTTCTCTTCTAAGGGAAGAGCAGGATGGTACTGAGCTGAACCTGAAAATGCTTTAGGATTTTTAGAGCTATGTAAATCCAGTATGCTGGCAGGGCCCAGACAGCAGACCTCTCTGTTTCTGGTGTGATGCCTCTCTGTGCCAAAGCAGAGGGCTGAAAACAAAGGCTATGCAGAGTCAGGAGCACACAGAGGAAGCGCACAACTGCGTGTTGGGGGCAGGAGCCCACAGGAGTGGGTTTAGTGGGAGCCAGGGAATTAGAGGAAAGGGAGCACCTACTCACACGTTAACCAGAGTGTTACATAAAGCACAGCTGTCCTCCTTCACATAAAACACTACATGGCAAAACAGCACCTTGACCCCGAAAGAGACACTAAAGAACAATTAAAAACACACTGCATAGCTGAAATGCCAGTGGGATTTACAAACATACCCTGCAACAGCGAGCCATTGTGCAAACACTTGCCACGCTGCAGGCTCGCGTCAATATTTTAGGTTGCTTCTTACTTAGGGGAAACAAGAAACCGAACCAGCAGAGCCGTCGTTGGGCACAGACAGACAGAAGTACGTGGTTTCGACACGCGTGGCTTGCAGCCCACGGGGGAACCCCCCCCACCGGAGTACGCGGGGGGCCACCGGAGGCTGCTGCGGTTTAACGGGACTCGCCCGCCAGCCTTATCGCCCGAGGGGCCAGCGGGGTGTGCTCCGGGGCGATACACCGAGCCCCGGGGGATGCCCGCCCCCGGGCAGGGGGGGCCGGCACACTCGCAGGAGTCGCGGCAGCGGCCCCGCAACGCTGCCCCCCTGCCCCGGGACCCCCAGGGCCGCCCGCCGGGGGAGGAGCCGCCGCCGAGCGGGGCCGGTCCCCGCCGCTCCTTCGCCTGAGGAGAGCAACGGGACGGAGGCAGCGGCCTCGCCTCAGCCCGCGGGGCTCCGGTGCGGGGCGGGAAGAGCTGAGGGCCCGCGGGAGGGAAGCGGCCACTTACCCGCCGAGCCTCCGGCGGCGATTTGGTGAGAGGCCTCCTGAAGAAAGCCCGCGGGCTGCCGAGCCATGCTGAGCCGCGGGGCGGGCACGGGCGGCCGGAGAGCGGTTGCCGAGTCGGGGCCGAGATGGCGCGGGGCGGGAGGGGGCAGAGCCGGGGGGAGGCGGGGGCCGCCGTTATCGCCGGGGGTGGGGGGGGGGAGCCGCGGTTATCGGCGGGGGGACCGCGGCGGGGCAGGGCAGGGCCGAGCCCCGCGCTGCGGCCTTCGGCAGCCCGCGGGCGGAGGGCAAGGCTGGGCTCGCAGCTCCTGCTGGTGGCGGCCGGGATCGGGCTCTCCACCCGCTGCCAGCCCGGAGAGCGGGGCAGCAGGCGCCGGCATCCCCCGAGCTGGGGAGAGCGGTCGTGTCCTGTCAGGGGACTGACGGGGAAGGCCTGTCACCACACACCTTGGGCTTTCGCTCCCGTTTGGGGGCTTTACAGCACACGCTTCTTGCAGTCCTGCTCGCCACATGGCGAAAGCCCAAAAATTCCCCCGGGCACTACTTCCAGGAGGGATCGGGAGCGCCATTTGTTTCACCCACCGTCTTTCAGAAACATACTGTACTTTGAAAACCTTTGGACTTTGCTTCCAGCTCTTCAGTGTTCGTAGGACCCAGGTCTTTTGAGTGGCTATTACAGGTCTTATGTGGACCCGTTTGTTCCTCATGGTAAAGTAAACACGCCTCGGGCTCCAGCACTGGGACACAATCAGTCCTGGTTTTGGCAGTCCCCAGCGTTATTCTTGCTTAGGCCAACCAGCAATTTCCAGAAGATGCCAGGGAACAACAAGGGGATGACGTGGGCCAAAGGCTCTTCTGCAGTGGCTGTGTGGGCAAGGCTATGCGACGGAAGGGGAAGAAAGGCTACCTGTATGGATGTGAAGCACCCAAGGACATCTAGTCTCAGGGCAGAGATACATTATATTAAGTGCCAGATTCATAACAGCATTTAGGTTAATAAACTACAGCTTACACACTTAATCAGCAACTCAATACCTAAATGCTTTTATGGATTTGGAGCCTCCAAAAGCAGATGCAGTATCACAGGTGGTCTTTTGCTTTTCCTGTTGTATCACTGACCCTGTTCCATTAGTCAACCCCCTGGGTTGCCAACATCTAGCAGTAAATATTTTTTCCTTATGTCTCCAGTTTCTGTCTTCTCCCTGAGTACTACTGTGGTTTCCCGCATTCTTCTCCATTTTCTTTTTTTGCACATGTTTCACAGCCTCTAATACTGATGATTTTTATTAACTCAAGCAAAGCCTTGTCTGAGCTCAATGTTGCTCCTTTTCTAACTGTGAGAGGATACTTACAAGCATGATTATGTCAGTTTTGGAAGAAAGCAGAGCTACTGCTGATTTCAAAGGAACATTTATCAGTGTTAAGAATATGGATTTTAAGAGAATGGCTCTTGAATAAAGTTCTTGACTGCTTGTTTAACCAATCACCTAAATAATTGGGGATATTTACTTATTTGTTTGCTCTCTTGCTGACAGACCTACAGTGTTAACGCAGACAAGAATATCAATTTTGAGTGAGAAATCCTTCACCAGATCTTCAAAGTGATTCCGAATACTGTTTGTGATCTTGGACATCTTGAAGTAGAACTAAGAGACTAGATTTTCTGGCATTTCTTCAGAAAAGAAAGGTAGTTTTTACATAGTTATGTTTTAACTTCTCTCACCTAGAGAACAAACAAAACAGATTACTGTTACCTTAGAAGGGCATCAGTGCATACTAGTCTCTTAAAAGCATAGATAATTTGTAACTAGTTGCATATATTTAGTCCTGCACCACAGCTACTAAAGGCAAATGTTGGTAAACAGTTTTTTTCTAGTCCTTATGATTCATATTAAGCTAGATCTGTTTAATATGTTCAAACAGTATTCTCACACACTCTATTCATGCCTCAGATAGGTATTTAACTACTGTCTGCAGTCTGCGTAAATTTTTAGTTTAGGAAGAGTGAGGCTTCCAGATGTTCACTTAAAGACTGAGCAAGTGACTTTAAGGTAAAGTCCTTGGCACTGTGAATCCTGGGCACCCCAGAGGCATAGTACTAAAGTCGTCATTTGATGGCCCAGACTCAAGTCTCACAGACCATCATTTGATGGCCCAGACTCACAGCAGAGCTGAAGAGAATAGATAGTGGTTTTCCTTACCCTCCATTCCTGGAAAGGTTCCTTAAAGAGAGATTTGGCTTTGTTTTAACAATACTACATCTTTTCCTCAAGAAAGAGGAAAAATTTTGAATAAAAAATCCATTGTGAAGAAAGGCATACATAATTACTATAAAAGTGAAGATGGAAATACCTGCAGTTGATAGATAAGAGATAGCATTCCAGCATTCCAATGGCTAGAATTCAATCAAATAGCTAGTAATCAAATAGATTAAAATACCAGTATGTATTTCATAAAGGCAGAAAGCAGTACAGTCAGAGACGATTTCAAATAGTGTGAGAGTTCTCAGGTCACAGCTCTCCAGATTGGCTGGATGGAAATATGAAGGTTAATGCTAGACTGAGACAGAGAATCTAGAAATAAGTGAAGCAAAATAATGAAAGACTGTTAGCAACAGGATTCGTGTCATTTAACTGTCCATTTGTCCATTTTATTCACTGAGAAATAACTTTTTTTTTAAATTATTATTATTTTTAATACAAACCAAAAAGTTATGATTTGTACGCTGAGGAATATTTTGAGAAGGAAGGATTCTTCAAAAACTTACAAGTGGGTTTTGTGCATAATGTTTTGAAACTGCAGTACTTTCATCCTCCTCAGTCACCTGAGAGTCATTTGTCAAGCCTTTCTAAACATGTTTTCCTGTTTTGAGAATGAATTGCAATCATCTTAATATTTAGAAGTCAAAGGTTTTTAAAAGCATCTTTGGAAAAGTATTGTCATAAAGTCTGCTCATGAAGTATTGTTCTGATATATTAGTTTGCAGCGTATGCATGTTTTGTGAAGTGGCTAGAGATTCCAAGGTTGAAATGAAATGTAACCTTTGATAATTTAGAGCAAAGATAAGAGAAAAGCAAAGTTTTTTATTGCTAAAGTGTGAGAACATAGAAAATATACACAGAAGTGTTAATAAAGTGATAAAATACTGAGTCTGTAACTGCAAAATGGAATAATGGGTCCAGTATTCAGTTATTTAATTTGCATGCATCAGCAAATAAATAGTAACTTGAATTCTTTGATATATGTAAGAGCAGAGTGAGGATTGCTGTGGGAATACAGAATAACTCCCTAAAATTAATAAACTCCTAATGTGCTGACCTTTAAGTAATTAAAATCTCAACTTCAATGTTTCATTAACATTTGCATTAGTTCCCTTGGTTTTGCTCTTTGAGACTGCTGCTCAATAAATATAGCAGGATCATCAGGTCTCCAGTGTTCTTCATCATCAAAAAACAGATGCCAAAACATCACTATTTTTTTTGTTCCAGGGACATAGGTCTCACTGTGTAATGCTCCCTTCGATACAAACAGCAAATCTAGTATTATGGTGGACTTTCTGTAGTAGTTCAATGGTAAAGAGAATTTGAAATTGATCCGATGGTGAAGAAATTGTTTAGTTAAATTTGTTTTCTGCACAAAGTTTCATTGCAGCAAAAAGCTTTACATTAAAAAAATAATTTGCTTAGAATAGTTAGAAACTTCAGAATTAGAATCGTTCAGAATGCATGTCATTTTCATACAGATGCATTGACAGAATAACATGACATCCTTAGAAAATAAACTCTGCTATTAAGAAACTAGTAAATCTGTTTGAGTCTTCAATAAAACAAATCTAGTCACCCCAACATCATTATATTCTCTTGCTGAAAGTCTCTCATGTATTGCGCGTTTCCCTCCTTACTCTCCCTCCAATCCAAGAACAGCATTCCCATTGTGCGGGTTTCCTAAAGCACTTCCAGACTTAATTTCGTTTTCACATGGCCTCTTCCCAAGCCGGTACATGTGGATCCACACTCTCCTCAGTAGGCTTGGCAGTCTGTTCTTCTCCGCGTGCGCTCACTACGTGCATTACCGCTAATACGGCTTCTAGCCCACCTGGGCAGCACTCCAGCGCCAAGCCCACCAAGAAGACAACGACTCCTCTCGGTGCATGGCCAGCAGGGGCTGGGAAAGACGCCAGCTCCTACATTCCCGTGACGGGGAATCAGGCAGCAGGCTCCCGGCCCCCCGCAGACCCCCGCCGTTCTCCTTGCGCCGCCTCTCCCACCCGCAGGCGGCGCCGGCCGCTTCTTGTTGCCCTGCCCGAGCCCGAACCAGAGCCCGAGCCCGAGCCAGTCCCCTCGCCTGGGCCGTGCCGTGCCCCGCCCGCGGCCCTTTCCGCCACTGCGCGGCTCCCGAGGGCGGCGCGCTCGGCTCTGCTCCGCATTCCTCCTCCTCCTCCTTCTCCCGGCCCACCCGCCCGCTCCGGGGCTTTGTTGTGGAGGCTGCGGCGCCGGGAGCGGGCCCGCGGGGGAGGAGCGCGCAGGTAACGGGCCGGCGGGGCGCTTCCTTCGGCGGCCGCTCGCGTGGGAACCCGGCCCCTCACCCGGAGCCGCGCCGTGCCCCGGGGGCTGCCCGCAGCGAGCTGCCCGCAGCGCCTCCCCGCCGCCTGGCGGCCCCGCACACCTCCTCGCCTCCCCGCCGGGCCTCCGCAGCCGCTGCTTTGAGGGGCCGTGGAGCCCCGGAGCAGCCCCCGGCGAGGCGGTGGCTCCGCCAGCCTCCCCTCCGCTCCCCCGAGGGCCTTCGGCTCACCCCGTCCGGCTCCGAACCGGGGAAGTCGGGCAGCGAGTTGCCCGCTTTGGAGTGCAGGGTTTGGGGTTTCGATTGATGTCACTGCAGTGAGGAGGGGGGACACGGGAAGGCTGGCCTCTGCACGGAGGAAGGGCAGCCGGTGGCAAGGTTATTCGGAGGCTACGAAGTGAAACCTTTCCCAAACAAGTTCAGCAGGTCGAAGCTGGATCTGTAAAGTCAGGTGAGAACAGGCTGTGGAGGGTGCTCAGGCCAGCACTGCATTACAGAGAGGAAAAAAAGCCACATGCACCAAAAATGCCAAAGTAAAGTTTGCAGCCTGTGCTTTTGTTTTGAACATATATGACTTTAAAAGCATCTTTGAGAAGTTCTAATGAATTT